CCCTCTTCGCGGCGTTTTTCATGGAGACCTCCAGGATCACCGTGGTCACCTACCTGGAGCCGTGCGTGACCTTAGTGCCGTTTTCCATGCCGAAGCGCCGCCAGCTTCCGAGCAGGGAAACCACCCGGCCGCCACTGCAACCGGCCTCCATGTGCCAGAGCATCACGGCCGTACCGACGGGCCTCAGCCGTCTGCATGGCCACTAGGCCAACATCGTGCCCACCCGTCACGTTGTAGTTCATGGTGATCTTCCCCTGAGAGTCCAGCGACTGCCACTGGCGCCAGACAAGGGGGTCACGAGGCACATGCTGCAGCCAGGCTATCCGCCGCGGTTCACTACGACCCTCCAGCCGAGTGTCCGACGACCGCCAATGGAGCCGTTCAGTGTTGCCACCAGGCCAACGCTCCAGCCAGTCTCCGTGATGTGGCTGTCGTCCCTGAGGCTCGGCGGATGATCACACGGAGGGTCACTGCGGACTGCGTCATGGGAGACCGCCGACGACCGTCCGCCAGCTGCTGGAAGTGGCTGTCGATTGCCCTGTCTCTGACGACGACGATCGGTGACCGTCATTCAGACCGTCCGCGGACTCTCAGGGGAACCGGCCACGTGGGTCACCTGGCCCACGCTGCAGCCCGTCCATTTGCCGTGGTTCACTGCGACCCTCCCGCCGAGTGTCCGAAGACAACCACCAGAGCCGTTCAGTGTTGCCACCCGGCCACACTTCCGCCAGCCTCCGTGATGCCGCCCATGACGTAGTCCGTAGTAACCTACCTTCTGAACAGCCGCCGACTCTCAGGAGCACCCGCCACTGAGGTCACTAGGCCCACGTTGCAGCACCGGCCACGGGGGCCACCAGACCCGCGTAGGGCCCTCCCAATCGTTTGATCGAGGAACCGCTGAACACCAACGTACCCCACAACGTCCGACGACCGTCCGCCGACCAGCAAACGATAAGGCTGACGACGCCGATCCGAATGACGAGCGCACGCTGGACGTCCTCCGGCCGTCCGCTACCCAACGATGACTGTCCGACGACCGCCGACGACCGTCCGCCGAACGCCAGAAAAACCGCCGACGACCGACTGTCGACTGTCCGACCTCTGACGACGACGATCGGCGACCGTCTGCTACCCGTGCACGAACGCTCGCATCCACGTGTCACCAGCCGCGACGACACGCCGACTGGATCAGACCAGCAGGTAAAGCGCAGCCACCACCGGCTGCCTCCGCCTCTCCTGTCGCACGTTGCAACAGCTTCTGGACTCCCGCCATGCGAGCACGCAAGCTGACTGATAGCTTATCCGCCGACTCCTGGAGCACCGCCTCGGAACCACTGTCGAGCATTCACGAGACAACCTCTAACGAGCGGCACCACCACGGTCACCCAGAAGTGGACAATGTCCATATCCGCATGGTGACCCTCCAGCTGGCCACCTGAGCGCCGCTGCGAGCGTCACCCCCGCAGTTCGTGTTGCGCTGTGCCGAGCGTCACGCAAAGGCATCCGCAGCAGCCACCAGGCTCGCTGCTCGCGAACACCGTGCGCCGCGCGCAGAGAAGACACCGACGTTCCTCCTTGCCATGGCGTACCTCTGCGCACCACCGTTCGGGCGCCAGCGACGACGCCAGCATCGCCACCCATTCCGTCGGGACCATCCAGGCCCACCGGGGCCGACCATGGCGCTACGGGTGCGATGGGCATGCGCGCCATCTTCCGACGCCGGCACCTAGGCGGACGATGCCCATCACCGACGCCTGTCCTGGCTTGGCGCCTTCATCCACCGCTGGGGCCCGATGTACTACGGCGATGACGTCTTCGCCCGACCCTGCATTCCGACGCAGTCTGTAGACTGACCGACGGCTTGCTGCCTCTTGGGGGCACCGTTCCCATGCTCCATGCTGCCTCTCGGCGCCGCTGCCATGAACACCGTCTTCCACTGCCGTCCTACGTCTGCCTCTTTCGGGTGTGCGCCACCAGGTGCATTGCCCGCGCAGGGCCAGGAACATTCCATACGGGATATGGCTTGTATCGTCGTGTGAGATCCCCTGGATGCGTCCCGTGTTCAGGCTTTGACCAGGGGCCCGGCTTCCTTTCGCATTGAGGCCTTCTCACCTTTTCCGCGTTCGGCCCCCCCCCACCCCACCCAGGGTGTAACCCCTCTCGCGCGCCGATGGGTAGCAGGGCCCCTGCAGTTCCCTCGTTCCTGCCTGGCCACTCGCTGACAGCAGTGCCTCTTGGTGCCGCTGGCGTGGGGCTCGGCGGTGCCGGAGGCGGCCGTGCTTGGATGGCCGCTGGTTGCACGCGGGTTCTGTCGCCGTCAGGCTCGCGCCCGGGTGCCCTTGCACCCCCTTTTTGTCAGGAGGAAGAGAAACGCACAGACACAATGAATCCTCGATTCCCCAGAAAATATGGGAAAATATGGGAAGTGGGGGGGAAGACAGAAACCCAGAAAATATAGGAAAATATGGGGAATCCTTTTTTTGTGTGTATTTATTTGTGTGTCCCAGGGCCCCTTCATTTTGGGTGGGGCCGTTTGCGCTTGCCTTCGCCCCGCCGTGCCGCACGCTGCGCGAACACCTGGCCACATGCTCCGCAGACCAGGCACCAGGCCGCCGCGGGGGGTGCCCCAGGGCGGCGCCTGCCCTCCTCGGGGCCTCGTGGCGCGCGTGCCGAGGCGCGTTTGAGGCCGACGCCACCTCTGTTCACGGGGGTGCAGAAGTGTCCGAGTCTCGTTCGTATCGCCACATCCCGCTCCTTTGTTCCAGTCGGGGTCCTCCTCCTCCTCCTCCTCCTCCTCCTCTTCTTCCCTCTCCTCCTCCTCCTCCTCCTCTTCCTCCTCCCTCCTCCTCTTCCTCCTCCCTCCTCCTCCTTCTCCCTCCCTCCCCTCCCCTCCCCTCCCCTCCCTTCTCCCCTCCCCTCCCCTCGACCGCGCCAGGGGTGAGGCCAACGCCGCCCCTGCCAGTCCAATGCGGCACCCTCCGCTCAAAACGATGTGGGCGCAGCGGGCGCAAGCGCCCCGCTCGCCCGGACGGACTTCGGCCCGCCGAGTCGTCTCGATCTGCCTCCCCCTCTCCCTCTTCCCCTCCTTCCCTCCCTCCGTGCTCCCTTCGTCCTTCCCTCGCTCCTCCCCTCCCTCCCCTCCCTCCCTCTCTGCACCTCCCTTCTCTCCCCGCCCTCCTCCCCCTCATCCCCTGCTGCTGCTGCTGCTGCTCCTGCTGCCTTTCTTCTGCTTCCTCTTTTTCCTCCCTCCTCCCTCCTCCCTCCTCCTCCCTCCTCCTCTCCTCCCTCTCCTCCTCCTCCCTCCTCCTCCTCCTCCTCCTCCTCCTCCTCCTCCTCCTCCTCCCTCCTCCTCCTCTCCCTCCTTCTCCTCCTCCTCCTCCTCCTCTTCCTCCTCCTCCTCCTCGTCCCCACCTGTCCGCCGTCAAGCGGCCGATCCCGAGGGACCTCGACGAGCTGCGCACTGGGATGCAGCGCAAGCAGGCCGCGCTGTCGCTGCTCGCGGACCGCGGCGTGCGCCCTCCGCGCACCCCTCCCCCCCTCCCTCTGGGCAGGGGGCTGCCGTGCGCAGTGGTGACGGGGGATGTGGGGAGGTCCACCGGTACGAGCAAAGTACATGTACGGAACGACTGGGTACGAAGACCGACTGCTATTCCTGTCCATTCTGAGCAGAACTCGCTGCCGGTGTCGCCGCCGACGTTGTCCATTTGAGACAGAAGGCCGCCTTCCCGACAGCGGCCGCTGTCCATTCTGGACAACAACTTTTGTTGGGCATCGTGCCCGTCCATTTTTTCCGTACCCATTTCGGGCGTCCAAAGTCCAGGCTTTCCAAAGGGGGTCGAAGTAGATGGGGTTCGAGATCGCGCCGCATCGCTGGTGTATCGGCCATACAACTCGATGTGGGGCCAGACTTTCTTCACTCCGACGTCGCCGCTGCATCGCCGATGCATCGGCTATGTATCGGCGATGCGGCGTTATCCTCTGACCTCCACTCGGACCCCATTTGGAGGCCTCCAGGAGGGGGGATCATCGCGTCTTGAGTGCATGAAATTCGGTTGATCGTCTCATCTATCGGTCTGGCCCGTCCCACCGTGGATGGCGGACGGTGTAGTTGCAAGGTGGGAGTGAGAGATTGAGGGAAGGGGATGGGGAGGGGAAGGGGTGTGGGGAGGGGAAGAGGGGTGGGGAGGCAAGGAAGGGAAGGAATATCATGAGAATGTGGTGGAGGAGGAGGAGAAGGGAGAGGAGGAGCATGAGGAACATGACTAGAGTAAGTACGAGGACATGCACGAGGGCAAGGGGGATGACGATTCAGATAATGATGACGATGATGATGATGATGATGATGATGATGATGATGATGATGATGATTGTTATGATTGTGATGATGATGATGCTGATGCTGCTGATGATGATGATGGTGATGATGATGATACTGTTCATGATGATGATGGAGATGCTGATGACGATGATGCTGATGCTGGTGATGCTGATGATGATGGTGGTGGTGGGGGTTATGATGCTGATGATGATGCCGCTGCTGCTGCTGCTGCTGCTGATGATAATGATGATGATGATGATCATGGTGATTGGCATGCTTATTGTAAGGGGTGATGGTGACGAGGAGAAGTACTATTATGAGGTAGGTACCAATGCTGCAACTGATGGTGGTGGTGGTGATGGTGACGATGATGCTGCCAATGATGATGATGATGCTGATGCTGATGATGATTGGGATGGTTCCGGTGATGTTGATGGTGATGAAGCTGATTGTGATTATGATGACGAGGAATACGCTGCTGCTGATGATGACGATGATGATGATGACGATGACGATGATGATGATGATGATGATGATGATGATGATGATGATGATGATGATTATGACGGTGATAATGATGATGATGATGATGATGATGATGATGATGATGAGGATGACTATGATACTTATGAGAATGACGATGGTGACAGGGATGACGAGGCCGATTGTCATGATCATTTCGATGACGATGATGCTGATAATGACGATGCTGATATTTTTCATGACACTGATGATGATGCTGCTGATGACGATCGTGATTGTGATGCTGCTGATGATGATGACGATGTTGATTCTGATGGCCATGATTATTATGTCTACGATGACGATCATGCTGACGATGATGCTGATGCTGACGATGATGATGCTGATGCTAATGATGATGATGCTGATGATGCTGATGATGACGATGATGATGACGACGATGATGATGCTGATGATGATGATGATGCTGATGGTGATGATAATACTGAGGATGCTGACGATGATGATGATGGTGATGATGATGATGATGATGATGATGATGTCGATGCTGATGTCGATGATGAGGATGAGCTTCATGATGATGACGACGATGATGATGCTGATGATGGCAATGCTGACTACGACGATGCTGATGATGATGATGATTATGGCACTGATGATAATGATTATCATGGGAATGAGGATGCTAATGCTGATGATGGTGATGATGCTGGTGATGCTGTTAATGGCGATGATAATGATTCTCATGATGATGATGATGATGATGTTACTGATAACATTTTTGATGCTCAGGAAGCTGACTATGATTCAGATGATGACCATGCCGATGCTGATGATGATGATACTGTGGGCGATGACTGTCATGATGATGTTGATGGTGACGATGATGGTACTTCTTTTGATGATGATGACGGTGATGATGACGATGCTGATGCTGATATTGATTTTGATGCTGATGACGACACGGCTGATGATGATTATGATGACGGTGATGATGACGATGATGATGTTGTTGAATATGACGATGCTGATGATGACGACAACGACAGCGATGGTCATGATGCTGATGACAATGACGATTATGATGACGACGATGATGCTGATGATGACGATGATGACCATGATGATGATGATGATGATGATGATGGTGATGAGATGAATATGATGATGGTGATGATGGTGATGATGCTGATCATGTGGACGATGGCTGTGCTGATGATGCTTATGGTGACGAGGATGCTGATGATGAGGGTTCTTAGAGGGATGATGATGAGGACGATGATGCTGGTGTTGACGATGACGATGATGATGATGATGACGGTGCTGATGATGATGACAACGATGATGCTGTGCTGATGATGACGATGATGACGCTGCTGATGAGGGCGGTGATGCTGATGATGAGGATGCTGATGATCACGACGATGATGACGACGATGATGATGAAATTGATGATTGTGGCAATGATGCTCATGATGCAGATGATGATGATGCTGACGATAATTGTGATGATGACGTCGATGCTGATGATGATGATAATGATGATGATGATATTGATGATGACGCTGATGACGACGATGACGACGACGACGACTAAGATGATGATGATGACGATGATGATGATGACGATGATGTTGACGATGATGACGATGATGATCATGCTGATGATGCTGATGATGTTGACGATGACGATGATGATGACGATGGTAATGATGATGATGCTGATGGCGACGATGATACTGATGCTCCCGATGATGATGACGATCATTCAGATGACGATGATGATGTTGATGTGCACGATGATGGTAATGATGATGCTGATGGTGTTGCTGCTGATGGTGACGATGATGACGATGATGATGGCGATTACGATGATGCCGACGGTCACGGTGTTCATGATGACGATGAGGATGATACTGATGAAGATGATGGCGATGATGCTGACAATGGTGATGATGATAATAGTGATAATAATGATGCTGATGACGATGCTGCTGATGATGATGATGGAGCCGACGACGATGATGATGGGGATGATGACGATGATGATGATGCTGATGATAATGATGATGATGATGATGATGATGATGATGATGATGACGTTGCTGATGATGACGATGATGATTATGAGGATGATGATGATGATGATGATGATGTGGATGATGATGACGATGATGATGACGATGATGCTAATGATGAGTATTCTGATGATGACGTTGACGATGACGATGCTGATGACGATGATGATGCTGATGATGCTGACGATGACGATGACGCCTATGCTGATGATAACAACGCTGATGGCGATGCTGCTGACTGCGACGATACTGATGTCGACGATGCTGATGTTGGCGATGATGATGCTGATACTGACGATGATGGTGATGCTGATTCTTACTTTGATGATGATGTTGATGATGCTGATGATGTCGATGATGACGATATTGACGATTCCGACGATGATGATGATGATGACGACGGTGATGATGATGGCGATGCTGACTATGATGATGATGATGATGGTAATGATGATGATGATGGTAATGATGACGAGGATGATGATTTTGACGATGATGATCATGATGATGTTGACCTTGGCAACGACGATGATGATGATGACGATGGTAATGATGATTACGATGATGATTCTGATGTTGATGATACTGACGATGTTGATGGTGATGATTACAATGGTGACGATGACGACGAAGACGTTGGTGACGACGGCGACGATGATGACGATGATGACGATGCTGATAATGGCGATGATGATGATGACGACGATGATGATGTTGATGACCACATGATAATGCTGATGATGACGTTGCGTGCAATGATGGTGCTGATGATGCTGATGATGATGCTAACGATTTTGATGCTGTAGGTGACGATGTCAAGGATGATGATGTTGATGCCGATGATCACGATGATGACGATGAAGATGATGATGCAGACGATGGTGATGACAATAATGATGATGATTCTGACGATAATGTTTAAGACGATGATGTTGATGCTACTGATGCAGATTGTGGCGATGATGATGGCGATGAGGATGACGATTATGATGCTGAAGATGAGGTTGCTGACGACAGTGATGATGCTGATGATGATGTTTATGCTGATGACGATGAACATGATGATGCTGATAACGATGGTGATGATGATGACGATGATGCCGATGACGATCATCATGATATACTGATAACGGTAATGATGATGACAGTACTGATGATGATGATGACGATGACGACCATGATGACGATGATGATGATGATGTTGATGATGATGATGATGATGTCGCTAATGCAGATGGCGATGATGATGCTGATGATGCTGATTCTGATGCTTTGATGACGATGATGGTGATGCTGATGGTGAAGATGATGCCGATGACGATACAGCTGACGATGATGATGACGACGACGATGATGATGCAGAGGGCTATGATTATGATGATGCTTATGGAGATGATTACGATGACGATGACGATGATGACGATGATGATGGTGGTACTGGTGATGACGCTCCCGATGACGATGACGATGATGCTGATGCTGATGACGATGCTGATGACGATGATGATTCGGCTGATGATGACGATGATGATGACGTTGATGCTGATGGTTATGACGAGGATGTCGATGCTGTTGATGAAGATGATGGTTGTGGTGATGGTGATGGCAATGGTGGTGATGATGCTGATGATGAAGAAGCTGACGATGATGATGATGATGACGCTGATGGTGGTGCTGATAATGATGACGATGGTGATGACGATGATGCTAATGATGTTGATGATAACGATGATGATGGCAATGATGACGATGATGACGATGATGATGATGATGACGATGCTGATGCTGACACTGATGATACTGATGATGCTGCTGATGATGATGGTGACGATGATGCTGATGACGACGATAACGATGATGATGCTGATGATGATGATGATGATGACGGTGAGGATTTGGATGATGATGACGACAACTATGATGACGATGACGATGACGATGATGTTGATGCTGATGCTGATGTCGACGGTGATGCTGATGGCGATGATGACGATGATGATGACAATGATGCTGATAATCCTGATGATGATTTTGATGATGATGATTATGAGGATGGTGGTGACGATGATGACTAGGATGATGATGACGGTGATGATGATAACGATGATGATGATCACAATGATGGTGGCGATGATGATGACGAGGATGATCACGATTTCGATGATTATGATGACGGTGATCATGCTCATGATGACGATGGTGATGACGAGTATGATGATGACGATCACGATGATGACGATGATGACGACGATTGTGATGATGATGATGATGATGATGATTGTGATGATGAGGATCATGACGATGATTGTGATGACGATGATGATTTTGATGATGATTGTGATGATGAGAATTCTGATCATGACGACGATGAATGTGATTTTGATGATTATGATGCTGATGATGACCATGATGACGATGATGATGATGATGACGATGATTGGGACGATGGTGAAGACGATGGTGATGACGATGCTGATGATGACGATGATAATGGCAATGCTGACGATGAGGATGATGCTGATGATCATACTCGTTATGCTGATGATGATGCTGCTGATGATGATGATGATGGCGATGATGATGCTGATGATGAGTATGATGAGGATGATAATGACGATGATGATGGTCATCATGTGGATGGTGATGATGTTGAGAATGATTCTGACGATGATGATGATGATGGTGAGGATGCTGACGATCACGTGGATGCTTATGGTGATTCCGGGGATGGTCATGATATGACGCTGGCGGTGATGACGCCGCTGATGATGCTGTTGACGATGATGACGATGCTCATGATGTCCATGGTGATGATGCTGCTGAGGATGATGATCCTAATGCTGATGATTTTGATGATGGTGATTGTGCTAAAATGATGATGGTGACGATGCTGATGCTGCTGATTATGCTGATGATGACGATGTTGATGATGATGATGATATTGTTGTTGATGATGATGGCGGTGATTATGACGATTTCGATGATGATTATGACGATTATGATTATGACGGAGATGATGAGTATGACGATCTTGATGGTGACAAAGATGAGGATGATGATGATGATTATGACGATGATGATGGTGATGATGATGATGATCACGATGCTGATGATGACGATA